AGATTGCTGAAGGCCGGTGATGGGGAACCTGAGAGAACTTTGGTTGACTCATAGAGTCGTTTATAAACTGCCCCAGTACACTTAGCTGCTTCTGCTCCTTCCCGTCTCCTCCTCTAATTTAAGTTTGTCAGGCGGTAGGAGAGTTGTCTCTCCCTGAGGATATTCAAGGAAGGCCCGAGGACCACTTGGCGGCTTTGCTGCAGAATGGGAAGGGGGACAGGAAGGGACCTTTCTGAGGGGAAATCTGTGCTAAACCAGTGCTCCAATGTTCCATCTGCTTAGGTATGCCATCCTGACCACATGATTCAGTGCGTATTATATAGGGAATTATTTAAATCATTGCATAGATGGAGAAACTGTTGCCATTAGCTAGCGCCGGATGATTTGGAATTAAAATTCAGATGGCCTTGCAGGTCCCGCGTGGCATTAAGCTCCTATAGATTTCACTGGGGTGGGGCTAGCTGTAAAATGTGTGGGATGCTTTTCCAAATGAAAACGTGGGGCCTCTTGTTTAAAAAGCAGGGAACATAGACTGTCAAAGATTCTAAAATACAAAATGCTTTCCTTTGGTTCCACGATCCCTTTCCCTCTCCTCTGTCTTGACCTGGTGCGGTGTTTTCATGTGCGCTCTGATGTCGTGTTCCCTTGGGTATGGGGACCCTCCCAGAGTAGGAGCAGACTCACAGGCCCCGGGGGCCCTGCCCTCTAGCCTGGGACTGTGTAGCTGGGTGCCCCCTGCCTCCAGCCACCAGACTGATGCCACCTTGAGCCTGGTATCTCCCTTCCCATGGGACTGCCACAACAACCCATAAAATTGCAAACTCTGCAGCGTGCTTGGTACCTGGATCAAGAGTGGCCAAGAGTTGCCCTCCAAATGCATTCTGACACACTTCACTGGTGTGTGCCTGACCCTGACTCTCCCAGGTGAGGCTGGGGGCACCAGAGGGGCAGGGCTAGGGGGCTGAGGACCAATCTTCGGAAGGCCCGCGGGTAACAAGAGATTCAATAGCTCACGAGCCAAGGGTTTGTGCCCCCTGCACACGTCTCATTTGTCCCATCAGACTTCCCTTCTACAGCCTAAATTCAAAGATGAAATTATTAAGGATTTCAAGATGGTGACTGTAGAGCATTAATCTCAAATATGAGGCTTTGCTGAGCACAGGGACTCTGTGTAACTGCCCTGGGCACACGTCCCTGCAGCGGGCCCCGGGCTCTGGAGAACCAAAGAACTGGACGGAAAGATTCCTGGACAGGAGGTGTTTACTTTGGGAGAAGATAATATACAATGAGCTATTATTACATTATTGGAACAGATAACAAGTCAGTATACAATGCTTATAAAAGTAGCTTGTGATTAACTGCTATAATTAGGCTTTCTGTTCACTGACTTTGTAAGGTGATAACTACTTAGATTTCCTCTTTTTTTTTTTTCCCCTCTTGTCCGTTCCCCCAAATCTGATTCAGCCGGGAGGTGTAGCCAGGATTGAGGAGAGGGGGACACCACTCACTTGATGTCATTCTGGAATCTCCCATGTGCAAGATTTTCCCTGAGAGGCAGGCCCACAGGAGAGAGCACGGGACGAGGCACGGAATCAGCCTGATGGTCTGATCCAAAGCGTTGCAGGAAAATCGATTTGAATAAACCAAAAAAAAAAAAAAAAAAGTGGGTCAGAAATGGAGAGGCAGGAGCCAATGAGGATGTGAGTGTGGATAAGTTGGCAAAGGTTGAGCCCAAGTACCTGACCACCTGGCGATGGAGTAGGAGCTGGGATTGGAATTACAGAGGACTTGAGGGAGAACTCCCATTCCAACGGGGGAAATGAGTTCTTGGAGAAGGCAGAGGAAAAAGCTCCATCCCTCCAAGGCTAAGGGGGTGGATCAGGGCTGCACAAGCCATTAAATACCTACCCTGCTGCTTTGGCGCCCTGTGCCCGGGGAGCTAGCCGGCCGCATCCCCGGCTGGGTGTCGATGGGCTGCGGTCAGCTCTCCCCGCACCGTGCCTCCCAAAGCTTTGATGAGGTAAGGGTAAGGTCACAGCCCAGGCCAGAGCAATTTGCTGTGACGCTTCCCCCCCCCCCCCCCCCCCCCCCCCCGCGCCAAATGCAGAAACATTTGCCGAGTCGCTCAAGTTCCTCCGCCAGGCAGGGGGCTGGTGACCCAAAGCAGATGACAGCAGGGGATAGCTGCAACCAGCCCTTGGAAGCGGTCGTCAGCTCTTTTTGGTCAACAGCCTTTATGGAGGGCTCTGCTGCTCGGGTGTGCTGGAGCAGAGGTGTGGGGGGAGGCTGCGGCTTCCTCTTGGCCGGATCCCTGCACTGTGGTGACGAGACCGAAGCAGAGTTGCTGGTAGGGGCTGCTCCGTGGGCTTTTCCCTTCGTGCCTGAACTCCTTGTGCTTCTAAAGCAAGAAGCTCCCAGACGCGGGTCTGTGTTATCAGACCCTGACATGGAGCTCGCCGATGGGTTCGAGGCGCCAGAGGGGAGGAGGGCTGCTGGCCAGTGTGTAGGGAGCACAGCCCAGTGGCACTTGAGCGTCAAGCTCCTCCTGTAAATATTTGCAGACGCCCCTTCCAAGCTCAAAAGCCTGGGACAGGATCATTGGACGATTTGCTTAGAAGAGGAGGAAACAAAATTGACCTCGTGGTCAGAAGCAGCCATAAAAAGAAAGAGTGAGTTTGGGCAGAAGACCAGAAAAGGGGAAAAAAAAAAAATCACTCAAAGTTTCATAAACACAAAAGAGAATAAAAATAAATCTCAAGAGCACTTATTTACAAACTCGAGGGAAGGATGAGATTGGGTGGGTGGGTGTGAAAGATGGGTGTTTGGGGAAGGAGAACCGGCCTGTGGGGGTTCTGCTGGATGAAGAGCGGCAAACAGCTCACGAGATGTTTACTCGGCCTAATGACAGGAAATGCACTGAATCAGCTTTGCTCTTGCAGGATGCTCTCTCAGAGCATGTCTGAAGCTTCTGCTGTCTAATGGGGAGGCCGTGTGAAGATGAATGCAGCCACTAGGCCTTGTGGAAGGTTCTGGCCAAACTCTAGGATGTAGGAAGCCAGAGAGCCTGGCTCGAGTCTTGCCCCAGCTTCTCTGCCTGGGCATCTGGCCTGTTGGCCGCTGAGCTGGTCAGGCCAGGACCAGCGTGTCCAATCACCTGGGCTGGGCATGTTCCCGAGGAGAGAAAGATCAATTTCTTCCCAGCAGCGACCTTTTTCGATCACAGTGCTCAGGGGGCTCTGGGAAACCTGGCTACTTGTAGGCATGTTTGTCTGCCTGAAAACCGTCCACCGGCTCATGCACAGTCGTAATGCACTGGGCCATCACTGTGTCTGCATGAATACTTTCTTTTCTCTGACACCTGGATGCTTTAGATTTTTGGGGGTTTTTATTTTGTTTGTTTGTTTCGGAGACGCCTGGCTCACGAGCTACAAAGCTTCCATTCACACAGTCGGTCGGTCGGTCGTTTGCAAGGCGGTCACCCTGGGTGCGGAGCGTGGCTGGGAGGAACTCACCGCTTCCTCAGAAGCAGCCTTCTGAGAGTCACAGGACAAAGGGGTGGGATGGGGGTAAGCCCCCTTGAGGGAAAAGACTGCCGAGCTCTTAAGATCAGCAAATGGTGTGTTCCTAGCATTTTTTTTTTTTTCAGTCTCATTGTCAGGGCACGGGCTTCCCCAAAAATCACGAAAGGTATTTATTTCTATTTTAAGATCGGCAACATGGCTTGTTTATTTAATAAGAAGTTAGTCTTGCCAATAGCCAGATGGCCGAGTCTTTCAAGCCTCCCGTTGATGACCAACTATGCAAACAGTGGATCCTTGGTGAATTCCATGTGTGCAGGGCCCTGTCCTAGGGATGGGGGGGTGGGGGGCAGGGCGAAGGAAGACCTGGCAAATCTGGTCTCTGCCCTCAAGATTCTTAAAATTTCACGGGGGAAAACAAAATAAACAAACATAATGCAGAAGTAATAAAAACACTTGTAAAAAGCCATAAACAACTGTGAATGATTATGTTGTAATGAAGCTACATAGCTGAGAAGAGGGTAGAAAGTACTGGAGCTACCCGATTTGGACAGAGCATTCCAGAATAATGAAAGAAGGTCTGCAGAAGATGTGGGAGGAGAATTGTAGAAACATCTGGAACAAGTGGCCTGCCCAGTGTACATGCTCAATAAACGGGTGCCGCATATGAAGCATGTGGCTGGGATTAGGACCTGCTTTGGTTTTGTTGGTGCTCAGGTGTTTATTCAAAGGTGGTGGCATATTACTGCAAAATAACAGCAAACCTCTAGCAACCCATGACCTTGAAATTGTTGTGTACTATCTGTCTCTTTGTGTTTTCCGGGGCTTCGAACTGAGGGAGTTGGGGCTGACTCTTTCTCGTCATTAGCCAGGATAACCAGTATGTGGGTATAGTTTTTTGTTTTTTTTTTTAATCCAGATTTTCTCACCCCAACTTCACTAGAGGGTGTATTTGGTCATAGGTGTATGAAAAACCAAACTATTGAAGCCAAAAAAGATGCAATACATGAACCTGGATAGAGTAGAGTATTCTGATGCCAAAACTTCAAGGAAAAAAAGTACATGGGCAAACTGCTTGCCATTAGGAGCTATTTTCTTGGCACATCTGATTAAAGTGTATGCAAGCCTGACAGCTCTCTCTAGGCATCAACTGTCACGAACTTGTTCCAATTCATAACCGTCTAGGATTTTCCACTGCTTTGTCAACTTTCAAAGGATAGGGTTAACTGCATGCCCTCAAATGGAGTTGGAAGTGGTTTGTTAATCTCTATTAATCTGCGACTCCTGTAACCAAATGCACATGTTTATTTATTGTCCCCCCCCTCTGGTTAAATTGTTAATGGTATTAAATTGGCCCTTGGAAACGAAATCATTCTGTAGATATTTCCCTGATGTTTTCTTGAGACGATCTCATGCCTCACGGTCTTTTTTGAGAGAACAATGGGTTTTATCATTTTCAATGATTACCCTAACTTTTTACAGATGCCATCCCGCCCACTTTCTACAGACCGTACTTCAGAATTGTCCGATTTGACGTCTCGGCGATGGAGAAGAATGCATCCAATTTGGTGAAAGCAGAGTTCAGAGTCTTTCGTTTGCAGAACCCAAAAGCCAGAGTGCCCGAACAGCGGATCGAACTGTATCAGGTAACTTTTGTGTGGTTGTTTTGGTGGACAGTCAGTTTGAAGTCTAAGAGTAAAATACTTTCTGCCATTATCAATTTTCTGAGCTGATAGAAACCATGCTGTCCGTTCACAATCGTGAGAGGGGCTCTCATTTGTCATTACTCTGCCCTCGGTAGCTCATTCCTCAATCAGGAAGGAAGGAAGAAGCTTTAGAAGGAAGTGGGGAAGCTCTGAGCACATTTCTCCGGTGGCGTAAATGGCTGGAGTACCCACCCTTGGGAGGGATGGCACCCAGAAGTCCTCCCCCTCAATCTGGAAAGTCAGACAATGTGGGCTTTCCTATTGTCTTCTCTCGCCCCGTAGTTTTCACTCCTTTTTCGTCCTCTCTTTGCTATCTCCTGCCTCTTCGCTAACCTCATTCTCTCTCCTTTCCTTTTTCTGGTTCTACCTGCTCTGTCCAGCTTCCCTCACCCCCATTCCCTGTCTGCCCCCGCCCTGCATTACTTCAGGCAGCCTTGACGTCTCTTTCATCTTCCTAAGTACAGTTGCTGGCAGCCTGGTTAAAAGATGATGATGATGATGATGATGATGATGAAGTGCCAAGTCACTGACATTTCAGAAAGGTTCTTAAAAGCTTCTCAAGTGGATTACAGGGCAGTAGATCCACATTATCGAGAAGCTTCAGGAGCTGCAGCATCTCAGGCTCCATCCCAGACTCACTGAATCAGAACTCACAAAGTGTAGAGCAGAATCTACATTTTTCAAAAGACCTTTGGGCGATTCGTACACACTTTGAGGCACTGCTCTGAAAGCCCTGAGTCTGAGGAGGGAGGCAGAACTGTGCATGAGTGACTTACGTGTGTCTTCGCGTCATAGGAACGGTGCGTGTAGAGAGCAGAGTTGAAGAGATTTCACCAGGGAGTTGACATCTGAGCAAGGCCTTAAGAAGCGTCTGTTAAAACAGGATGAGGGATGATCATTCTTGACAGAGGAGCAACCCTTGCAAAAACAGAGCCTTGGGGTGCCTGGGTGGCTCAGTGGGTTAAGCCTCTGCCTTCAGCTCAGGTCATGATCCCAGGGTCCTGGGATCAAATCCCACATCAGACTCCCTGTGGGGCAGGGAGGCTGCTTCTTCCTCTGCCCCTCCCCCTGGCTCATGCTCTCTCTCCTCTCTCTTTCTCTCTCTCTCTCTCTCACAAAAATAAATAAATAAAATCTTAAAAACAAAAACAAAAAACCAGAACCTTGAAGGGGCTTGTTGAGGGCACCACATAGATGGTGCTCAGGAGACACTGGCGGTGAGGGGAGACTGGGAGAAGCTTGCCCTCCAGGGAGAGTGTATGGAGGGAAACTAAAAAGTGTCAAGAAAACACCAAGAGAACCACAATGCTAAGGAGGAGGCATGGGCGACTATATGAATAAAAAGGGGGCTTACTTGAGGAAAAGAAAGGAATTGACATCTGTTTGCAGAAACTTCTGGTTGTTCTGGATTCTAAACATTTGGAAACGTTGACAATTTGGATGAGAATTTTCTTTGTATTTTTTATGAGAATGGGGGATTACCATACTCATAGATGTTGTATATGAGATTACAGAGAATAAGTTTTAAAAGTTATAAAAAGAGAAAAGAGTCTTCCAGTTTACTTGTGTGTTCATGAAAAAATAATTCTTACTTATTAAAATGAATCCCCAAGGACCTCTTCTTGGAGGACCTCAGATCCCAATGCATGTTCCGAGAGCACCGTGAGGGCATCCATTGCTCTCGGCCACCTAGAGTAGCGCCTGCGTCAGCTTCCTGGGTACCAGAGACTTCGTTAGGCATGTTATAAGTATTGTCTCCATTAATACTCACAACTATCCTGTGAGGCTGGCATGATGAGGTATTCTTTTCTTTTCCAAAAATGACTGAAATATAATTGCAATATGACATGATATTAGTTTAAGGTGTACAACATAGTGATTTGAGGTATGTAGATATTGCAAAATGTTTACCATGATAAGTTCAGTTAACATCCATCACTTCACATACTTAGGCATCCCCCCCCCACCCCCCGCCGGGGTGAGAACTTTTAAGATGTACTCTCTGAGCAACTTTCAAATATACGCTACAGCATTGTTATAGCTACGGTCCCCATGCTGTACATCATACCCCCAGGACTTATCTGTCTCACTACTGGAAGTTTGTACCTTTTTGACCGCATTCACCCATTGAAGGTATTCTTTCTACTACTGTGTTCTTCCTCCTTTTCACAGAGCAAGACGCTGCGTCAAAGAGAAAGTAAGTCACTGGGCCAGGATCACACAGCTAGGAAGTGGCAGGGTGGTCATACCAATCCAGTTGTGACTCCCAGGTGCTCGCTCCTCACCACATCCTGTGCTTTCCCTTCCTCTTTGCCTCAGTACCAGCCAGAATGGAAGAAAAATAAGAGGAACTAGGCCAGTCAGAGGGTGGTTTGATATCTGGAGGGAAAGCAAAAACTGGGTTCTCTGAAAAAGAAGCTAGATCAAAGGTAGCCAGATATATAATTCAAGGTAATTAAAAAAAAAAGAATAAAAACAAAAACATCATTCCGTGGGCGCCTGGGTGGCTCAGTTGGTTAAGCCACTGCCTTCGGCTCAGGTCATGATCCTGGAGTCCTGGGATCGAGTCCCACATCGGGCTCCCTCCTCCCTCTTATGCCTTCTGTCTCTCATTCTCTCACGCACGAATAAGTAAAATCTTAAAAAACAAACAAAACGAACAAACAAAAAAAAACATGATTCCGTGTTCTCTCTTTTCTTCTTTTTCAATTAAGTTGCTTTTATATGTCTCTGTATATGGATGATAGGAGCATCATGGATTGTTCTCCCTGGCTCCTTTTCAACTGCCTGACTTCAGTAAATTGAAGACAAGATTTCTTATGTCTCGTTGCCTCTAAGATAAGCTGCCAAGTCACTGTTATTCTTAGGCCCCTGACCCCGTGCTCCAAGGGGTGGAATTACTGATCACTTGCCTTACTCTCGGAGACCCTCTCATCGCCCGGAAAGGATGTGTCCCTCGAGGCTGGTAATTTAGAGGACCTTTAGTGACTTCTTCCTTACTGACTTCTTAGTGGCTGTGTACCTTCTCCGAGGTTATTGCCGCACCGGCTCTCCCATCACTGGGGCAGCCAGATCCTCACAGATTTGGAGTCTCCAGTTGGAAAAGGTACAGCCTATGATGGAAGCATATTGTATGAGGAGGGTGAGCGTGGGCTGATTCACTGTCACTGAACACAGGAACCTGGAGGAAGATACTTTTAGAGGGAAAGTAAGGAAGGCAACAACTCCTTATCAATCTGGAGCTCAGTGAGGCAACAGTCTCACCTTCTGAAACACGACTAGGAAGGAAGTCAGAGACCCCTGACCACCCTCACAGAAGACACAAAGCGCACCCCCAGCTGAGTTAGCAGAAAAGCAGCCTTTGGCCCTTTATTCACGTGTGACCAGGTTGGTCATCTCTAGGACCACGAGAAATTAGAAGCGCTGAATTAGAAGGGGAGGGCTGGAGGTAGACGCTTTGACAGAAGCAGATGATGCGTTAGACTCGAGGTTTTTGCCCATGCACCTTGGTGATGCTAGCCAGGAAAATCAGGTCACAGAGTGAACACAATGCTTGTTGTAGATGCTTTTTCTAAATCTTACCCTATTTATAGCTAACCCAGCCCTGATAGCTATGGCATCCCACCTGGTTCCTGACGTCTGCCATGGTGTCTTTATTTGGAGTCCCATTTTTGGCTTGTTCTCTGACTTTCCACTTGCCTTCAGCAGCCATTTGGTGGTCTTTGCAGCCTTCAGGAATCAACTCCTTCTTCTAGCCCCAGTACGGAAATTGGTGCTTATGATAAGAGCCTTGAATTATGAAGGTGAGGTTGAATTATATTCAGGAAACTGAATACATGCAATAAAATTTCAGAGAGTTTCATGTCCAAAATTGCTGAAATCTTATTTTGGGGGAAAAAAAGGCCTGGTGCTTCAGTGGGGAGATCTTTAGCTATTTGGAGAGCTCCGCTATTCAGAAGAACAGAAGAACAAAGCCTCTGAAGTTTCTAGATGCTCTTTGATTACTGTATCACTTGACACGCCATTGACATTCTACTCCCTAGAAGAACGGTAGGATGACTATGAATAGGTTCTCAGGCTGTTCAGATGGCTGAATGGGTAACTTATCAGAATTCCTCAGGGCATTTGTTTTAAGCAGGGGGAGAATGTGTGTGTGTATATGTGAGTGCACACGCAAGTTCATATGTGGGTACCAGGGCTCCCCCAAGTATGAAAGCCCCGTGGGAACTTTTATAAGGACTGCCCCCAGTACCTCTCTCTAGATTCCGATTCTCCCTAGAGAAAAAAAGAACTGCTTCTGGACAGGTGTAGTTTGCAGAGGCTCTCAGATCTTTGGATATGATCATTCTTCATTCTCCATTGGGAATCACCGATTTCAGGCAGAGTTTGGGGGTCATTCTGTCCCATAGGATGTATATAGGTACTCTTTCTTGAGTCAGAATACCAGGCTGGAAGGGCCTAAGATAGCTTTTCTGTGAGTGAGTTCAAAGTTTATCTTGTCCAGGGCTGTGCATCTGTTGATTCTCCTTGCCTGGGCGCATTAAAATGCCCAGGCTTCCATGGAAGTCACATTTAGCTTGGCGAGGAAACTCGGGAGTTCTCCCTGCTCTCCCCTTTCTCCAGAATAGTCTGTCAGAACTTCAATGAATGGTGGTAAAATAAAGCCTTACTGTCCTTTTGTGATGTTGACAGACTCTAAATAACGTATACTAATGTGATCATGGAATGACTTCAAATATACACCAATACTGGAGGGAATATGAGAGGGATAAAGCCCTTTGATATGTGAGAAAAAAGAAGAGGGGAAAAAAAAAAGGATAAAAACTGAACTTTTTCCAAATGGGAATGACCCTTACCATGTTTTTAAAGCCTTATGCCAAAGGCAGCCTTTATTGGAATATGATCAGATAAAGTGCCAGTCCTCTGGGAATGCCTTCGAA